ACAATGATGATTAGTATCGTGTTTGTGATCACAAGTGGCGCCAAATAAGAAGTTACCTCAGTTTTGTAGGTTTGTGATACGAAATGCCTTTTTTTGTTTTGATATGGTTAAAAGTACATTTTTGTAAGTTTTTAAACATTGTCAGGCAAATAATACTTTGTGTACTGTAATACTTTGACTTTCAGGAGGTCCGCTGTGTGATGGAGATAGAGGAGGCCGATGGTGTTCTTCAGGTTTTCTGTCCTTGGCATTTTTTTCAATCTCAAAACGGGGAAATCAAGCACAGGTTTACAAGTGAGACACTTTTTGTTCGACATAAAAGGAATGTTCCAGGTTCAGTACATGTTAAGCTTACTTAACATGTGCAGCATATTGTCGATTCCCACAGAAAATAATTACCTTAGCAAAAATCACTGATTCAGTTACAGTCTAAGTAAATTGGACCGGACAGTAAACATTACAATCAAGTACACACGTTGTGGTTTTTAGCCAAAGATATGGCTTAAAAATTGTACATGTTAGCATGAATATGAGGGAATCACTTCGTCATCTTGTCCAATCTCTCAACTTTATTTTCATAAAGCCTCCATACAAGGATACCAAGAAGGGAAGTGACATGGAGTTAAGTTGGTAATTTGTTCTCTTTAATCAGAAGCACATAAACCTGTCTTCTTGTTAGCAATTTATATTGTAACGGGGTGAAGAATCACACGACAAGTAATCTCAATCAATACCCCGGAGGGTGGATTTATTGGGGTGATGGGTGATAGGGAGAAAGGTCCAGGTAGGTGCTCCTGTGCCGTGAGTGCTCTCTTCTGTCTTCCCAGTGCAGAGGGTCCGTGCAGTGCTCCTGTGGGGCTGGTCGGTCACACGCTGCTTTCTGTGGGAAAAATGAGGGCGAGTTAGTGCTCAGTCTCATGGAGGAATCTCCTAGATGGCAGAGCTTGCGTGGCTTATGTAGCCGCCGCCTGATGAGGTGCAGTTGTGACCGATCAGCCTGTGATGATGATGGCCAGGTGCTCCTCGCTTGTTTCCAGGGCGATGCTGATGAAGCTTCGGGATGCTCGTCACACTCCCCCCCCCTAAGCGTCATCCTGGTCCTGTTAACGATATGAGATAGTAGGGGAGAGATAGGGGGTGGGTGGGGAGTGACCCCTGACAGACCTGCGAAAGCTGCCCAGATCCGAGAGAGGCCATCCGCGTTGGCGTTCGCGGCTCCAGCCCGATGACGTACTTCGAAGTGGAAGTCCTGGAGCGCGAGGAACCATCGGGTCACCCTGGCATTGGTCTCCTTGGCGCGGGCCATCCACTGAAGGGGTGCGTGGTCCGTGACCAGGGTGAACTTCCGGCCCAGGAGGTAGTACCGCAGCTCCAGGTCTGCCCACTTGACGGCTAGGGCCTCCTTGGGCGACGCTGATGAAGCTTCGGGACGCTCGTCACAATATCCAAGAATGAAAAAATAAGACAGAAATGGTCTTCAAAATAACTCATATTTAAGTCAACACACCTCTGTTCAACACCCACAGATATTACATTGCTGATAAATAACTAGTTTTTCCCAATGGAACAGTAGTCCAACTGTAAAAATGAAAAAGTTTCCAGCTTTTTATAGGAAGAATTAATGCAAGTGCTTTAACGATAATATGAGCTTCACATTTCGCCCTTTAAACCCACCATAAGCTGGCACTTAAAACTAAGGGATGAGTCAAAATAATTTTATGCAACAAATGCAGTTGAATAAGCCAACTTGGTATTGAATTCAGAAGATTATAAGTTAAATCAGATTAAAGACATGATAATGTTTTGATACAAGATCTATCTTGCTTTCTGTTATCATCTTACATGAATCTTCAATAAAAGTAGCATTCTCTTTAATCAGTGAGATGCCTGAATGTTCCTCCTAAAAGATCAATGTATACACCAGATTTCATTACTCAGCAGTAAAGGGGCAGTAGGCAGCCAGATGTACAAGTTAAGTTAGCCAGTGATTCAGCGTCCTTGAAAAACACGTATTAAAACCACATTTGTTGTGCCGTCACTTTAACTCAGAATGGCACCAAACATTATCTCACGCAGTAATGGATTGCACATCAACAGAATCGTACAGAAGTAGGTGCTGCCAAACAGACAGACATTTGGAAAGTCTTGGAATTAAACTGCCCTCATTTCGGCACGTTTCAATTTAGCCAAACATCTGCTTTTTTAATAAACAGATGAAATGTGTTCTCTCATGCTGCGAATATAAATAATAGGGCAGTTGGACGTGACGGCGAACTCGGGCCAATCAATATAAGGCAAAGACTCTGTAAAACAATCCATAATTACGACAGCCATCCTGGGGGGCTCGACACCTTAAAATGTTCAGTAAGTAGACACTATTCCTACCCCTGGTTGACATCCACCATGCTCGTATATCAAAGTTCCTTCCTAGCTGTTGGCTTTTAAAGCAGAAATAGAGAGTCGGATGCGTTGCAGACGTGCTTAAGTTTTATTTCTTTGTCAAAATGTGAAGTTCTCTCTTTTCTTTCTTTAGCAACAAGTTTATGAAGTGAAATTGGAGGACGGAAATGTATTCGTCAAGCACGCAAGTGAGCTCTCGTTACAACCTTTCGGCCAGGTCAAGGAGAACTGAAGTTCTTGGTTACGGCAATGTTTAGTTCCCTCGAACTAAAACATCTGCTTGGATCTCGTAACATCTGAAAAAGATGCAGAATTATAGTTGAATAAACTTTGCTGTTCCCAGTGCAGCAGTTGTTAACATTTGTGACAATTTGTATATACACACTATACAAATTAAAGATAAATTGTTCTTTAATGTTGTATGCAAATTGCTTCAAATGACACTAAAATGAACATTGTTCTCTGACATTTAGATTATATATTTTATGATTTATTTGAATTGTTATGAATATCTTAAAATGTAAGTTGGCAAAATTTATATGCAAGATTAATTGAACTCAGGGAAAATGGGGTCACAGACTGTTCATTTAGTCAACTTTTTATTTCAACGGCTTAATTAGTCATAGTTTTAAATTCATGATCGTTAGCACTCCAGATATGTTAATGTTTTTCCCTCTAGGGCCGTAATAAATGTTTGCGGTTGTAACTTGCCATAATTATACCTTCCTAGATCCAGCTCTCTTGAGTGTCAGGTAGAAATGACTTTCACTACAGGGAAAATGTGACTTTGGAGAATTTAATTAATTACTTGGTCGACTCACTTAATCTTATGTTCCAATATGTCTTTAAAAAAAACTTTATTCTTAATTCGAACAATCTTCCCATTTAATCATCAGTATTAGTGAGATTATCCTACCTTTACTAAATATAAGTTAATGCAAAAGAAGATATATGCAATGCAATGCTCAAACATTGGTTATGACAACATGGACAGTAGTTTTGTAATGACTAATGATTAAAAAATGCTAAATATATCTTGTAATGGTGGGTTATTGCATTTTTTAAAACTTTATTATTAATAATAGTTTTTAAAAAAATTACGTGTGTGATAAAGCATGTGTTGCATGCCTGCTTATGATTTCTGTTTATCTTTTTGTGTACATCTTTTTTTATTTACGTTTAATGGATTAAAAACAATAACAACAGAACATGTTTACAAGAGATCTTTATTTACATTCTTGTAAAATTGACAGACATTGTAATCCACAATTTACACACAAAACTGGCTTTTGAGATTGCAAGATGGGAAATTTCATGCAGTATAAGTTACAATATGATTTGCTTAGATTTTCAGGATTTGTTGTATGTAAAATGTTTGTGAAGCAAGCATGAAAAGAGATATTGTGCAAAGGCAACTATTCGACTTTCACTTTGTAGTGTAGTGGTAGAGTTATCAATACACATTTTGCCAGAGGATATTCCTGGAAAAGTCTCCCTGAGACCAGCCAGACAGTTGAAGCGAGGACAAACACTTTTGAAAGCTAACTGGAGGCCAACAATTTTTTAGCACCATATTTATCCAATATCCAACTCCATCTTGCCTTTGAAATAGAAATGTACAGTATAGATATGCTAAAAGACCAAGGTTACTTTAACTGGATATATTACAAAATTACAAAAGTTAAAAGTTATTCAAGTTACAAATGTACGACTTAACGTCACTTACAGGTGAGACTGTCTGGGATAGAAAAAAATGGTTTTCAGTCATTTTAAGTGCGTACTTGGTATACAGCAATGTTTTTTACAGTTTTAAGAGTTATATATATTGTTTCCTCATGATTCGGAAATGTCCTGTTAATGGCGCATTTTATCATACTTTTTTAAATATTGCAATGTTATTGAAAAATCTCAGATTTTAATGTCTGATTACAGTTGGTCTGTTATGAGACTTAGCTCAGAAACTTTGCAAATTGTGTTCAACTGCAATTTTAGAAAAAATGTGCCACAATATTAGTGTACATTTCTCTATTGGATTATTTCCCAAACACTTTATTCCAATTAATCAAAATTTTTACTTTTTTTGAGGTATATTTTTGTTCTTTGAAGATTTGATTTTAGAATATTGTTTTAATATTGTTTATATTCTACCTGCATTTGGGCCAGCTGTACATCTTTGGATACACAAACAAAATAAACTTTTGCATCATTATCTATTAAAGCATGCACTGTAATCCCTCAACTCAATTAACTTTCTGCTTTGAACCAATACAGAATAGTGAAAGCGTAAGGGATTAGACAAATCAAATCAGAATTACCATAATGAAATCCTATTTGCAATGCTACCTACAAAATGTACCTCAAAAAATACAGTTGTCCAGCTCATGCAGGTCCACATGATGTTTTTATGGTCCATTAATTGTTGAAATCACACAATTGGATTTTTGTTACTTTAGGGTGGAGTTCAAATACAGCAACTGCATTTATGTTGCATTGTCAGTTGGCTATATTAGAGGAGGCTGAATTGGATTAGCAAACTCAAATTCATTAGGATTAGGTTAAAAAAGAAAAGAAAAGAAATGGGTGCTGTAATTTGAAATTCAGATATGAAATTACTGAGGGAATAGCCCAACATTTTAACAGACCTATGGTTGATTGGCTCATAACATAGGACGTTTTTTTGTCAGGACTCTCAAGTCATTATTGGAACACAATATTGCACTTTAGGAGACAAACAGAAACAAGAAACAAAATGCAATCAGTTTACCCTAAGAACTATACATCATACACTGAGATGTACTGTATTAGTTGGAATTCATATCAAAAGAAAACTTTTAATTAGGCCAGCCAAATGGTCAAAAGGATGAAGAGGGCATTTCGAAAAAGAAAAAAATAACAATAATTTGTGTTTGAAGTTAAGGCCATTATATTATTCTTTGTCTCACCACAGGTTTGTTTAGTCTACCTTGGCGATCCGTTCTGTTAAGGAAAGCTATTCTTGGCTGGGGTCAGTTGTGCATTGGTCAGACCAATAGTTGGCCAAATCACAACTGGAATGATGACATGGAAAAGGAGGCGAGACAGAACGAGCATCTTTGCTGCCTTGGGTCTTGTTCATTGCATCCAATAGAGTAGAATATTTTGTTGATGAAAGGATTAGCAGCTGTCACACTTGACCTCAACCCATACAGACTTGTCTCGCCTATTTAACCTATCATCTATGGAAGACACTGATCAATTAGAGAAAATAAGTCAATAATTACAGATCTAAATGTAGGACGTTCCACATAAGCAAATTTTGACATTTTAAATAAATAAATGAAATCAGTCTGTATGGGACTTGTAGAATATTTGGCCTAATCATAAAATAAATGTCTTAATGAAGTAAACTTTGAGGAAGAATGAGAGGACAGTTTTCCATACACAAGTAGAAAGAGTTTAAATGTGTTCGGATAAATCAGGTAAGGATTTTGCTCCGTTAGGACAGAGCATCCAATATCACCCGGCTGACCAAGTTTGGGATTTCCATAGCAGGTTTTTTGAGTCTTTTTCTCTTCACTTTCTTCAACCCGAAAGTCCTGCATGAGAATGGAAAGCATACACTTGATTTTCATCAACATCTTGAAATTATTGTTTTAAAAGTGCACTCTGAGAACTCACCTAAAGAAAGATCTACAGTCTTGGTTGTGTCCTTGTAGCAGGTCTCCTTCTGTTAGTGTTCGTGGCTCTACGGTTCTGGCTCCTGCCCTGTTGGCCAAAAGGGTAGGCCACCATTTGGGTTGACCCTCTTCTGACTTGCAATCCCTGGGACTCCCTCATCTCCCGTGCCATCTGTGTTAGTGTTAGGCCAGGATTTGTTTGCAAGCGTTGGAATAAGCTCTCACGATTCACAGTTCTTTTAGGGCAGCTGAACGTCAAAGCCACTCCAGAATCTGACTTCATCTCCCTGGAAAAACCATCTGAAGTTCCATCAAAGCAGCGGCCAATGGCAATCTCTTTGGCAACTCGTGGGTTCTGGTCTGTGACAGTGTATATTCCATAATTGTGCCCAAGTGGATCAACAGGAGCTAACATATTGAATGCATGAGACGCATTGTTCTGAAGAACAGGAGGATGCTTTATCAGATACTCTTGCAGGAGACCGTTGATGCCTATGCGACGGCAGTTACCTTGTGGGATGACAGAAATGAGTGACCTGTCTACAATACCTTGATCAAAGAGCATCCCGCTGCACTTGAACTCGAGACAAGCAGCAGAGGTGTTAGGATGGTTTAAGTCGCGGGTACTACGAATGTCTCTAATGCCATACAACTGACCTCTTGTCTGAGGATGAGTGCCACCAAGGTTTCTTGACCTTACCATGATTTCTGAAACTCCATGAATCTTAACTTTGATGTAACAAGCCCTGAACTCTTGTGGATTTGGCCACCAGGAAAGATAGTCTCCAGTCCAAGATGTGAGGTCACTCTCCTGAAAGGGTACCACATTGTACTCATATTTATCTTTTTCGACACGGAAAAAACGAAAGTGGTTGGCATCAACAGGTGCATTTTCACATGCAATTAAACTCTGATAGGGATAGATTGGTCCATTTGTTTCATCAAAATTGTTAGGGTTTGGTTTGGCTAGGTTGATTCGGAAAGCTGTTTTCTTAAGTGCTGGATCCTCATGATCTGAGCGCTGGTAATCTAACTTCCCTAAGTATGGCTGAGACACACCAATAATGTTTGGGTTCATTTTTGGCATTGAGGGGGCTGCTTCCAGTTCCTCACCTCCCATTATAGCTGTGACGTAAGCAGTGTATGCATCAGGCCTCTGAGCATCACAGAAAGCTGGAAGACAAGCACCGTTTGGTCCTGTTATCACACTGTCAAAGCGCCCCCAAGCCCTCGGATTTGACGAGTAGCCGGGCTTAGGCTCCAGGTTTATCAAGTTTATTACCACACCTTCTAGTTGCTCATTGGGCAGGAACTTGTCGCTCATGTATGCCTTCACATTGACATAGCAGCGGCGATTCTCAGGTACATCAAGATTGAACAACCTACGCTCCCTGATTTCCATATTTCCTATCAGGAAGGTGCGCTCCTCTCGTTTGTTTCTCCCGCTGCCAACAATGGTGTTTTGTGCGGGTTTAAAGTTACTCTCCTCCTCCCAAATGCCTGTATCGGGATTGAGGGACCAGAGTTTCATTGTAGGGATGTGCTCCTGCATTTTTACATGCTCCGTATCAAGAAGAACCTGGACTGCGCCGGCTCCTAGAACCTCCTGGTTTGCCCCATCTCGGAAATCTACTGAAAACATTCCATATGTCCTGAGAGGTAGCATGTCTCCTTCATTGTCTACAAAGTTGAGATCTCCAGGAGCGGCAGCAGCCATGGTAATGTTGCGTGGGTCAAGGAACGTGACACTGGCCTTAACGGTCCCTTCGTAAACTTCCCCTGTGTTTTTATGGAAAGAGTTTGGAGGTATGACCAGTTGACCGATGGGGTCCTCATCTTTCATTTCACCTAGGTAAATGGTATTGCTTTCTGCAGCATTGATATCAATAGGTTCCTTCTTCCTCATCACTTTTACGTCATGATAGACAGCACCTCCTCTCTTGTCAAAGATAAAAACCTTGATTGTGTCAATGAACTTCTGAGAAGGGTCCACAAAGTTTACCACAAGACGCTGTGTATCTGGAGACACCTGGATTGTAAACCCACCCTGATATCCTGTGGTACCAGTCCGTTCCTTCCCCATGTAAATATGTCCAAAGCGCAGGGGTTCATCATTGTCTGCTGACACCACCCTGCCCCGTACAAGAACTTTGGGCTCCACACAAGTCTGGCAGCCACACTCACTCACAACCTTGATAGGCAGGGTGTAACGGCCACAGTTGATCTCTCTAGCGTCCATTTGTTTGGCCCCACAGCAGAAGCCAGATCCATCCCTGCAGCGCATGTCAAAGTCCAGTGTCCCAGGGCATTTGTTGTGTGGACAGCGACCTGCATTGTAAAACTTGGAGTCTGTTCCAGGCTGCTTGCAGTCTAATGGTAATTTGATCAGGTGAGTATCAGGTGTTGAGTTGCAAGCTGGTGTTCCTTTAGCTGTGAAATACAAAATGTGAGATCAGTGTGCTACATTTTCAAATAATACAGAATATTTATGTACATTGCAAAAAATTATGTTCTTGATTTTCAGTCAAATATTAGCCTGAAAAGGAAGTCTGATGACTTGCCAAAGTATTGGTTCTGATTAAAACTTATGATGTCATTATGTCACCACCTTAATGACTGCAGTCATTATTGTCACATTACCACTCTACTGTAAATGCTGCTCATTTTTTTCATACGAGCCCTGTGTTTCCTTTAAAATGACACTTATTGGAGAGAGCAACCATGTAATCTTATTTGAGGTTGATGAAATTTAATTTATGGAAAACATGCAAAAAAAGAGTGAATACAAAACACATTAATCATCCTCCGTTAAGAACCCTGCTGTGACAGGTGTTAGTGTTTCATTCAGCAAAGCACATTTCGTATGCCAAAATGATTAAGCAAAGAGATCCCTCAGACAAAGTCTAGGGCTGATTGCTTTAACACGTGTTTCGCCAGACTAATTCTGACAATCTATATCTTGGATAACAAGCATCATGGGAATTTTCACAATGTGTAGTTATGTGTGCAAATGTGGAAATGCATACTTGTCTGAGGATGAAAAAAACAGGATTTATTGACAAGCTTGGATTTCACTTTAATATGGAGAGCGGGTGGGATTTAAGGATTTTAGTCTGCCCACCACGACTTCTTGCCAGTCATTCCTTGTTTAGAAAGTGGTCATTTCTACCAACTTAAACATAATAAAATACTGTACCGCAGATGTCACTAGACATTATAGACTTTAATATTTCACTGGAAACCTCAATATTTAATGGGGTTATTTTTCTTCTTTAGGGACATTTTGCAAAAATGCTATAATGATCCCCGTTGACCAGTAAAATGGTTTTGCACTTACTGAAAACAGTGAGGACAGCTGAAGCAGACTTGATGCTGCCTGTCAGACTAGTTGCTTTGCAGTGATATTGCCCTGAATACTCTGGTTTCAAGTCCCGCAATATCAAATCTTCGTCGTACTTGTATATTGTGCGATTCAGTAAGGTTCCATTGTGGTACCTTTGGATCAAACAAATAAATTTTTTTGTAACTAAAAGATTAATGTCAGAAAACCTATATAGAAACTTAATTGTTTTTTACCAGTAATATTTGTCAGGTTTTGGTGATCCTGTTGCTCTACAGCAAAGGGTTGCACGTTGTCCCTCGTAACGCACTTTGTCTTCTGGGTGCTTCTCAATATATGGCTTTTCTTTAACACATAAAATGAAGAAACCAACAATGCAACAGTGCATGAAATGATCAATGTTGGATCATCCATATCCAGTGTTTTCTTCTTTTCCTTACCTGAGGATCGTAAGATGGCCCGTACCCAGAGTTCATCAGCGGTATTGTTGGAAACCGGGAGAGTAACAGGTACAAATTTGTCCTTTATTATGAGCACTCGGGTCTGTGGGGTGGTGCACAGTCCATCAATCTTGAACTGACCCTTGGCATCAGTGTGGGCACGGACGACCTTGGCTTGGCTAGCCAGAGCCACTGTGGCGTTTGGCACTGGGACCCCTGTAACACTGAAGACCTCCCCGTATAGTGTTTGTCCATCACAGATACAGTAGCTGCAGTCCTTACTGGGACGTCCCCCAGGACAGACACGTTTGCATGCCACTGTAAAAATAAAACAGGTTTTTTGAATTCATTGTAGCAAAAAAATGTATGGGTTTTCAGAGATTGTGTGTTTTGTAATTAACAGTACCTGGACATGGATTTCCACACTTTTGAACCTCCACAGGTCGCCCTGTACACTGAATCTTAGTAGAAGATCTGTGACATGTCCTACGCCTTGTCCTGCGACCCTTCCCACAAGTAACTGAGCAAGCACTCCATGAACCCCATTGGCTCCACATAGCTGTTTGGGTGAGATTTGGGAGGAAATAGTGGTTAATTAACAATCACCACTGTGGCAAGTTTTCAGAAAAAAAAAAAAAAAGCTGGGGATCCAACAAATGAAAAAACAATCCTCTTTGTTTGTGGTATTTTACTGTTTAAATATATGCTTATATATGTGAGTGTACAAAAATGTCAGACTGCAATCTGACATCTTTGTCAGTGTGATTACATTGATTTTATGATCAAAGACAACAAAGCTCTGTACACTGAAACATGTTTGGGTTTAGCCAGCTAATTGGGCACCACCTGTGTCATGTAATTGTCAGCAGGATGTGATCGCTCTTGAGAATCATGAGTGGAAAATAAGCATCAATTCTGAGTTTGAGTGTCAAAAGGATTTAGGTAATTCTGAAATGTGACAAAAACAAATATTTGGACTATCTGGTATAAAGGGCACACAATGAGTTTGACAACTCACTGCTTTCTAAAAATCTGTTGTTTTGCTGCTAAAAAAAAAAGTTTTAACCATCATAATGGTTCTTTGGGCCAGTCGGTCACCTAGCTAAACCATATTACCGCTATCTTAGCCAGATTTGGAGATCAGCTAAACCAGATTAAACCAATTAAAAGCTTTTTTGGTTGATTTAAGTGGTTTTTAGGAGAGGCGCTAGTGAAACCTGGCACTGAATGCTAGGAAATGCATATTATATCAGTAAAATGTAAATATTGTCTCCAAATTCATATTTGTTCCTTATTTACCTTCACATGGTGGTGTTGAACACTCTCTCCGTTCAATGTGAGGTCCCACACAAACAGGTGAAAGAAACAGTGGAAGAGGTTGCGTGCTCATGCATTTCCTCTGACGGACTTGGATGCCAACATCGTTACAGGCGGTGGCAGAGCAAGACGTCCATTCACTCCAGTCGGTCCAGTATGAGTGGACTTAAGTAACAAAACAAAGAAGACTCTTGCACGCTCATATGTTAAAATGCATATGCCTCCATATGGAATACACTTCTGTACTTTGATGGATTGTCTCTTGACTAATTGTACCTGGTGGACACTGGAATCGCACATGGTAGTTGGAGCAGCTGCGACCAAATGGCTGCTCCTTATTGATGCACCAGAAGCCCTTCTCCAGACTGGAATGGACCACCTCCCCCGTATCCGCAGCTGCAACCCAGTCCGTGGTACGGGCCTCGATGGCTACAGGTCGTGAGCAGACCCTTTCCCGGTAGTAGAAGCGAATGGCTTCTAACCTCTCGTAGTCGCCGTTTCCTCCTGGATGGTCGATATTGAACCAGGATGTCCACTCGGTTACGCCTGGGTTACACAAAACAAAGATCAGAGTAAGATGTTTAACAAGAACAGTATGCTCTTGCCAGTGACCCAAAAATGGAGAACAAGAGTTTCCTGATTACGTCAAATTTCTGCCCATTTTGCTGGGTTTACTCCAAAAGATTAGTCCAGCTTTTTACATCACATAAACAGAATACAAACCATGTCCTACAAAAGTGCTTGTTGCTTTATATCGAGCAATCCCACTGGAGGTGTGAATTGAATGACATTATTTAAGGCAAAGAGAGCTGTCTGAATTATCTAAGAGACAACTTATTCTCTTGCTCCAATTAAGAACATGTGTAAACTCATTTACACATCCATGAGTCAATGTCTTATTGTTTCAGCATTGCAGTGGCTATATGCCTTTATCATTACAGCTCACATTTAATGAAGACAGATGACTCTAGAAATCATTACATCACATTTTTTAGCAACACAGAGGTCCACAATGCGGTTTGGATCAAGTAGGACACCACAAATTAGTTGATTGCATAAAGAGAGCATGTTAAAATATCCATAACTACCTGTGGTCTGTGGCTCCACAAGGCTGTTGTAAGCCAGCTTTCTGTTCCTGTCTGTTTTGTTCAACCTCCGAAGATGTGAGCTGTCCCAGATGGGTCCTGTGGGAATGCAAAGTTTATTACAGTGCACTCAACAAAGGTGCTACCAAAGAAATGTTGGCTGTAACTAAATCTTGCAGAAACACTGACCTCCTCAGAGACTAACTAAATTTGGTCTCAAAAAGTTGGTCACAAAATGTTTTGATTTATTACAGTGCAATATAATTTGCAATGTAATAGATCAGAACAACTTATTCCTTGCATGTTCCTTGGGTCGCAGACACGTCTGTGAATGTGATCGGAAAATCCTGCTTGACTTTGCGGCCAATGGAATGTGTGCAAAAGACATTCAATATTTAAGTACTGACTTTTTTGTGCATTGGTAGTACAAAGTAGTCCAAGTGGCCTACTTTTATCGACTCAGCATCCATTGGCGTCTACGGCCCTTCTGAACCATGTCCAACCAGTTTTGATTTAGCACCTGATATCTGATCTCATAATTGGCATGAGGAGGACACATTTGGTCCATTTCTTCACTGTATCTTTTTTCCATTCCGTCTGGTCACACATAAGGAAGTGGAGCATGCACGATGGCCTGATCCCCTACATCAATTCTCAAACTAATCTGGAGACACTTACTAGCCAGGGCCCCAAAGGAGAAGATAGAGTAATGGGAACAAACACATGGTGTCTCATGCTTTCTAGATGAGACATTACCAGAAGATGCACTCCCACATCCCAGATCGAGGACAGTGGGCCTCCGGTCCTTCGTGCGAATTGTCCTGCTTGCATAAGGTATATCCCTGAACCACTTTCCAGAGCTTGCTTATAGTGTGCTGTGATAAGGAAATCAGACTGAGGGATTCATTCACCAATGTCATTCATTTTTTTCCAAAAGTGACATGTCCCACAGATGTAGCCAAGCCTAACATCCTCAAGTAGAAACAGCACAGTGTCTTGACAGAGAATTGTTACTGGCATTACTCGACGCTCACACACTGAAGCGCTTATCTGCGGCAGACATGTCAGTCACCATAGAAGCTCTGCAGGACTTACTCCAAGCCACCATTACTGTTATTATATCCCTCTTCTACACTGCATTGATTTACCATGTAGGTTCACCTGAAAGAGTGTCATTCCCAAAGTATAGATTGTGGAATATGAGATGTCATTATTTCAGTTATATCTTGAGTGGCCTGCTGAGTCTCGAGGCATGGTGTCACTTTTCTAAAAACCATACTTAGCTGTTGGTTATTGTGCCACTCTGTTTTTCCTGGCCATGAAGTTTCCCCCTTTAGTGGGGAGTTGATTTTTTTTCGATAAATAACAAAGTAAAGCCTTTAGATGGCAATTTATACCTGGAGATCATTACTTTAAGTGTAGTCCTTTGCATTTCACACGCAATTCGTCACTACTATGCCAAGAATAAGGCCAGAAACACTATGGAACTGCACAAATGCAGATACAACATTTTTAGTAAATCTTTTTTATCTTATTTTTTAATCATTGTTTTAAGATTTTTCATTAGTTTAAACTGGAAAATTAACAAAAATAATGATTAAAGACAGGCGTGCGGTGCAACTGTAGATATTTACATGCGTTTTGGTGTTACTGACAAACCTCCGTACTCAAGGGGGCGATAAAGTTCATTTTAGCTGTTAGCACCATATACTTATTATCCAGGTAGCTAGCTAAATTCTCTTCAAACTGGTGCTCCGCCATGATAGTAAAAGGTTGTTTACACCAAGGGCAATAAGTATAACAATATCCATAACTAATTTGTTCTAATTCATTGAGAATAGTCCATACCATTACTATAACGATAACAACACAGAGAACTATATAATTGGAATCACATTCAGAACGTTTTTTTTTTTTTTCAGATGATGAGACATAAAAACATTGACAGCCAATCAGAATCCACCCAACTTTAAAAAGCTTGAGAATTTAAAGCAGCACACAACATAACTGCATTGTGCGCTGTGTTATAACACCTACTAAGGCCACCAATATAATTAGCAATAACCAGATCACATACTTTAGTCTGCTTTATTCCAAGACAGAAGAACTGTGTGTCCATGACCTCAGTGGAACCTTGTAATATCCGCACCCAGTAACAGGGCATTATTAGGATCAGGTGTGTAAAACATATTTACTTTGAAGTGGAAACTATAAGTTAACAACATCTAAAAATATACACCTTTCTATATAGCAGTGTCCTCCCAACATAGAATGACACCCTGCCCTCTCATAACTGACCACTCGTGCCAAGATTATTTTGGGAGATGGTTCTCAAACAAAAGGGTAATTTAAACTTGTTACAGCAATTCTGTTATTACTTTGTTCCTATCTTATTGCCAGGGGTTTTACCCCACAATATAAAGTGCAGTAACATTACCCTTTTAGGACTTCTCGCGTCACCTCATAAAGTCTGCACAGTGTCCAATAGCCATTCTCAGACAATTAATCCATTCACGCAAACAGTCTGTGGCCTTTTAATAAGACATTCCCCCTTTTTTAATGTGCATTTGGAGTATTGCTACCCAAGCCAGAAGCGAATCAAAATACATGTGAGGGTTGAGTTTTAATAAAAGAGCTACGTAAAAGCTGCAGCGGAGTGGTTACTGCACATGCTTCTTATACGGGAATCATTTTTCGGTCTCTGTCTGTAAATAAAAGCCTCCAAAAAGGTTAGAAACAAAAACATGCCAAAACTTATCTGGCATTATGCTTTCTGAAAGTTTTTCCCATGTTTATCTGAAAAGGAAAGGTAACTCATTTTGGCATGTTATGTAAGCCCTTTGACAAAGCGTTATAGTGCTAACCCACATACTCATATGTATTAGGGCGAGTGCGAAAACACTGTGATGGCTTTATTGCAGTATACGAGGTTGGTAACAAGTAGGGATTTGTTTGAAATCAGAGGCATTTCATTTAAGAAGGCAGTGTGCCCGGGCAGTGATCTCGAAATTGCATTCCACATCCCATCGTGTTTTAATTAATGCAAATGAGAGCTCCAAAGTGGTTTTGTCTATGTGTTTATCCTGAGTCGGACTCTGCAAACATGTGGAAGTAGTTTTGTGCATCTGGCCCAAGTCCTGGCTGAGGTGTGCTCGAGTGGAAGATGGTGAGCTCTGTCTGATTAGGTTGAGAAGAAGATTAGGAGACAATGACTGTTCCATAGACTCTGAAGTGGGATGCATCTGTGCTCCATTATTCTAAACTGAACTGCTTCATTGTCACTGCATAATAATGAAACCCCAGCCAGATTGGTGTGCGTTTAAAATGATCTGGTTTGGTTTTCCTTCTCTTTGAACTGTTTTATCCAGAAAGTTGATCTTAAGCGTTGGCTTTAATGTAGAATACACTAATATCCTGGAGAAGTGTATAGTTTTCTAATTTGAATTAGTCATTGTTTTCTATAAATAGAATACCTAAAAATTCTTAAAACAATATAAAACTACAAATATTAGTAATTAAGTCTTGTTTTTAAAAGCATCTGGGGTATGTTATATTTTTCTCTTTTTTCTAGCTTATTTAAAACTAGTATTGAAAACAAGTTTTACATTAATGTTTTTAAGTTGCTTCTTGAACATATGTTTACATATTTTAACTGGAAAATTAGATTTTTCCTGCTGTGTAAAGGGAATTAAAATGACGGTAACTCAAGAATCGAGTGCTAAATTTTATAAATTTAAATTGGCAGCGACAGCACAACGACAAAGGACACTAATGTATGTACACTTGCTATTATTATTGTATAAACAATTTTTAAACATTCAGTTAGCGGTCAGGTAGCGGCCACTCACGGAAAACCCTCTTTTTCATATATCAAAGCAACAGAGATCGATGTACCGGGCAGCTGAACTTCAGAGCAAAGTGAAACATCTGGAGAATAAATCGTTTGAATGGAGCAGATTAGAGAGTGGCAATATTTACTTTGGAGCGTTGAAAATGGCTTCGCCGTGCCCTGGATGAAACTGGCACGGACGTGCGAGCTTGCAGCTCATTACCGGATGACTGAGCGACATCTGGTTATTTAAAACCAAACTTTAGTCCTAAAGGTTTTTAAAAGCGTTGACTTAGAGCTCGGCAACGTCAGGCGCTATTTTCCGTGCCGGCTGTCTACGCGTGTTGGGAAACAGGTAATAAATTCCGTGGAGAGTTTGAGGTGGACCGGAGACGAGATGGAGTGACAGTGAATGTAATGAAGGTGGATGAAACGGTGCTGCTCCAAAATTCAGTCTGAGTTGGTGGGCAGTTTCCCAGTATTCACCACAGTCAGTCATTCAAATAATGAATTCCTCTACAGTCATAGTTTACTTTTCCAATACGAAGACTTTTGGGAAGCATCAGAAATACTTCAGTTTAAAATAATGGTGCTTTGTGACACACTCAATATTTTAAATAAGACTTTTGAAAGGAAATTTCATCAATGACAATATGATAAGGTGCCATTTCCACTTCTGTTTTCATGTCCAACCACTATACTGCAGTTGTTTACTGCAATAAATAACAGCTGGAGCAGATGTTAAAATTCACATTCATTACCTTCTTCTTATTGAATTTACATAATTAGTAAAAACCTTCCTTTCAAAGTGTCATTTAACAGCAGTGAGGCAAACAGAAGCAGTTCTGTAAGCAAAAGCAGTGATTTTTACTAAACATCACTCCAGCCATGTAAGTTGATAAAGCTGTCACAAACAAACAAGCTCTCACTGTTTTTTTTTTATTTTCTAAGTCTTACGTGCTGACAGCTGAATCCAAACTGTTACATAACGAATAACATATAAATGCATCATTCATCAAACATCCTTACATGTTCTAATTAAGACAATTATGAGATCATTTCAATTACGTTACCTTGTGCCAGAGACACAACAAAGATGGTAGACAGCACCAACGTCACGACTGTGAAGTCCCACATAGTGCCACAGCCACTGATGGGCAGCTGTTGGTAACAACTAATAAATTAAAGACAGACACCAAAAAAAAGTTCTTGAGTGGCTTGACCAATGAATTTGTTTCCCTCGTCCTTCAAAATCAAGTCTGATTGTTTCGTGAACTTCCCAGAGTTTTAAAAGACAGGATGGAGTGGAGAGTGGTCCAGGCCAGCCCCCTCCTGCTCACCATTGGCTATTGCGCTAACATCTGTGTTCTTATATCATTCCAACAGACAAAAAAGAACCCACAGATGTAGGAGAAAGGTGAATGTTGCATCAGAAAAATGTCATGTTTGTGTTTTTAATCAAGATATGCTGGATTACCAGAGATCTGGGTGTTTGGGCAGGACAATAAATCACATTTTGTGTTTCATATGCTCTGGTCCAGCACGTTACATCATTTCAGCCACAAATGAAGATGTACATGTGATGACAGCAGATGAATTTAATTTTTAAAAATCTGTTTATTTCACAATGGATTTTTCTTATTTTACTCGCATGCAACTATGTTGGGCATTGCAGGAATGTTCGTCCAACATTCAGAGACTCAACAGACAGTAAAATGGCTCTAATGTGACGCACCTGTTGCGTACAAAGGGATTTGTAAACAGTCAAAAGGTTTCAAATTTGGTACTAATCCATAGTAACTATTTCACATTGTTCGAAGGTGAAGTGTCTTTTTTTTTTCTTTAAAGGAACAGTTCATCCAAAACTAAAAATGTACTCACCCTCAGGCCATCCAAAATATAGATTAGTTTATTTCATCAGAACAGATATGGAGAAATTTAGAATTACATCACTTGCTCATCAATGGATCCTCTGCAGTGAATGGGTGCCGTCAGAATGAGAGTCCAAACAGCTGATAAAAACATCACAGAAATCAACACAACTCCAGTCCATCAATTGTGAAACGAAAAGCTGCATGTAATAAAGTCCTCAATCCATAATATTGCTTTCTCCAGTGAAAAAGTCATCTCATCTGAATCAGGAGAGAAATATGCACAGATCAAGCACCGTTTACAAGTGAAAAACGGTCCAGAACAGTTGATTCCAAAACAGAATGTTGTTCATATTTTGGCCAGAAGCGACAGTTTGAAGTGATGGATTTGTTTCTTACAAACACGCAAATTTTCACTTCACAAGGCATTAATTGATGGTCTGGAGTCATGTTGATTACTTGTGGATTATTGTGATGTTTTTATAAGCTGTTTGGACTCTCATTCTGACGGCACCCATTCACTGCAGAGGATCGATTGGTGAGCAAGTGATGTAATACTACATTTCTCCAAATCTGTTCTGATGAAGAAACAAACTCATCTACATCTTGGATGACCTGAGAATGCATACATTTTCATATTTGAGTGAACTATTCATTTAAGAGTATGTTAGATGACAGCAAAGATCATCTAAATGTAAAAACAGGACTGATAATAATAAACTTCAAAAAAGTCTACAAAATGGCAGATATGGGATTGATATTGTGCATCCTTTTTTAATGTCATTTTCAACTGTGTTTGATGAAGGACGAATATTGTATAACCAGAGTGCCAAACTAAAAGCTTATTGTTAAAGTCCAAATTTTGAAGTCTAACTCATGGTTCATTAGCATAGGTAATTGTGTTTAACCATGTGTAAATACTTTCCATGCATGCTACATGTACAGTCCTGTTCCACTGTCTAGGATCATGCATTACCAGCACATCCGTGACGGGGAGATGCGTTCACTCGCCAATCCATGGTGTCGTCCAACATTTAGAGTCATTTTTACACAGCTGTTTTGAAAGCATTGACAAGTACAGCAAATATTTCACTAAATGAGTCTGGAAAAAAATGAGGATCAGAAGTCAGAAAGCATGTAGATTACAGGGAATTGTCGTATCAAAACAGAATAAATGGCCAAATTTGCAAAGAAAAGCACAGACCAAAATATTTCCCCCAATTCATTGGCAGTCTAAACAGATTTTCATATTTTCCTTTGTCACCATATTGAGTGCATATGGCTTCCTTTGCCTTTTTACCTTTGTGAAACTCTCCATGTGTGTTTAAAGACAATAAACATACTTTTTGGCCTTCAGTGGGGTGGACAGAAATGTAAAATGTTTATTGGCGGACTAAGAAATATGATCTCCGGATGAGTTCATGTCCACCTTTTGATGAATATTTTTGTTTTTTGATGAATATTTTTTGAATATTATTGTTTACACAATGTCCTGAAATGGCCTATAATGCATTAGCGATGAATCATTACGCTGCTTCGGTATTCCTGTCCACACTGTAACTGTTGTTGCTTTAGACAGAAACATTCCTTTATATCACCCACGCCTTTTCCTGACTTTTGAATAAATCTCTGGGAAGAAATAATATACTGTATGGTCTAAAGAATATCGTAGCTACCTCTTGTTCCCAAATATTGGCTCATGGAGCACATTTTCCAAGGTTTGGCTAAATAATAACATCCGTGGGTTTTCAACATCCAATGTTTCTTCAAACACCCAGCTTTAACATCTAAATTAATAAACTCGGTTTTTACATAGATAATTTATTAATTCAACCTATAAGAACTAAGAAAACACATGTACATTGAGCAATGTATAGTAAAAACAAAATGATTTACATATATGTTTGTCATCCTGGGATTATTTTATACTGTACAACCTTTCCAAAAAAGTACAGATGAATAAATTTGTAATTGGCGTAAAAGTCCAGCAGAAAAGCATTGGGTTTGTAGGTGTCGTGCACATTAGACTGGAGGCACTATCAGGGTAATGCATTTTGAATTTATCTAACATTAAAAAGACTAATGTATTTTTTTAAAAATTGCGATTTTGAGAACTCAACAGTTAGACAAAAATTTGCAAAATTTAATAAATAATTCTAAACCCATCTCTTAGGACTGAAAGCTTGTTTCCATCACAAGATTAAAAAAATAAATAAAGATAATTGTGACTTTTGATCTCACAATTCAGACTTTTTTTCTAGTAATTCTGAGAAAAAAGTTAGAATTATGAGATATAAAAATAGAATTTTGTTTATAACTCGCAATTGTGAGATATAAAGTCACAATTCTGAGAAGAAAAGTCACAATTCACAAATGTGAGTCAGAGTCAGAATTGCACGATGTAAACTCTGAAGTGCTAGAAATGTTTTTTTCCCTCTGAATTCTGAGTTATACTGCTGGATTGTAAGGTATATACTCAGAATTTCAAGAAAAAAAGTCAGAATTGTGAGATTCATTTGCAATTACCTTTTGTATTTTTCCATCCCGTAACAGAAACGAGCTTCCATAGAAAACTCACCTTAACTATCCAAAGTATCTAGTCATATTTGTCAGTAACTGAATGCCACAGAACAATCTAAAAAATACGAAAGGGGGAAAAACATCCTTGTTATTCAAAATACAGGTCTGTATACATGGCTACAGTTCTATAACACATTCCGTGCCGGGGAATTCTGGCAGATTAAGTTCAAATTTTTTCTGAATGTCATAGGGCAGGAATCGTCCCGCCAGAAAATGGTTTCCCGAGAAACCTGTTGCGCACTTTTTGGGAGCTGTCAGAGAAATGAGAACTTCTGGATTTATCCCATCTTTGGCGGGTTCGTCAACATCCCAACCTTCAGGAAAGAGAGACAGGAAAAGTGAATCCTTTCTCACCATCACAAGCCACTGGATATTAACTGAAACATAGTAATGTTGCTATATTCTTCCAGATAAGATGTGGAAAACTGGCTCATGGAGATCATTCATCACACTACTGTCATGAGGAACGATAGCACAAAAATTACAGTGTGTCAGCCATCAGATGCAATTTTGAAATACAGTCTCCCGATGACATAATGCCTGTGAGTTTTCCTTGGTTTGATCATTTGTCTGTTTTGAAAACACTTCAGGTCCAGTGCAACACATTTGCACATTAAGGTCTCTGGTCAGCTCATTTATCAGAAAAATTGGCTGCAAAAATCAGATTTCATCAGTCGAAATTCCTTGGAGGTGTTAGTAACCCATTTCGCAAACTTACAAAAATGTATGAACAAGTATATACCTATATATATATAACTTATATAACTATATAAACTTAATATATTATATAAGTTTACCTAGTATTCCGTTTGACTTCTATGACATTACATTTACATATACAGTGGGTACGGAAAGTATTCAGACCCCCTTAAATTTTTCACTCTGTTATATTAATGGAAGCAATCAAAATCAACAAAAGAGCAATAATATGCAAGTGCTATAACAAGTCTCAGTTAGCTTAATTACATTAATTACATTATGTAGCTATTAGCAAGGGTAGCTAGTTGCTATTAGCCTTGAACGTGTTAGTAATCTATTTCTCAATCATATGACGACTATTTTGCATACTTACAAAAATATATCAACAATCTTTTAATTTTGAAAGTTTATCTAATATTCAGTTTGACTTATTCTACATAATTAAGTAGCTAGGGGCTACTAGCAAGGGTAGCTCTAGCTATTAGCCTTGAACATGTTAGTAATCTATTTCTCAATTATATTGTGACTATTTTACATACTTGTACAAATGTATCAACAAGTTTGATCTATTATTTGATTTACCATTTACAGTATTTATTAACTAGCAGCTATTCGCGAGCACAGCTAATAGCTACTAGCTAATTTCTGTGCCATTACCGTGACCATTGTAAACGGCAAAATAATGAAACAGGTTTTCTGAACACTCAAACAACAAAATTTAGTAAGTAATCATGTAAAAATTTAAATTTTTTAGGATGCTAGGAACAAATGTAGCCGACTTTACAGTGCATATGCTTAGCTGCCAAGAGTTACACAAATGATGTTCAGTGTGTAAAAATAGACACTTCAGATTTGATTTGGTTGTTCTGTTAGCAGTTTTCTTGAGTGCGCTGATGAATGCTGATGAGCATTTTTATGTCTTGATAAGCGGAATATGACAAAAATAATCAAAACCTCTGAACAGATTGAGACCTTTTTCATGAAACATGTTTTCTTTTCCTAGCAAGTAGCTACTGTATTTACTCAATGTAA